GTGGAAACCCCTTCGCCGAGCCCGGCGAACTTGACAACCCTTTTCAGGTGACTTGCGCCGGCCTCCTTTGGGCAACAGGATTGACTTCCCGGTTCTGGAGGATGGGCTTAACTTGTGTTCCCATTCGTGACATTTGATCTTTGGAAGGGCCGCCACGTGAGGGTGACGGCGACTCCAGTCCAGTGAGCACCCTGGGGGCGGGCCCTGTCCCTGTAAGAAACTGGTCCTGGCAGTGAGGGGTGAAGGATTTGGAGGAAGTGCTGGGACCACAGCGTGGCCCCCGAGGTGCAGCCCTTGGAGCCACAGGCAATGTGAAGAGGCCCCTGTGAGTTCCCGGTGAGGTATCAGGTGCCAGCTGAGCCCCTGGTCTCTGCCCACAGGACCCAGCTGTGATCCAGCACCGACCGAGCCCGCAGTATGCCACGCTTGACGTCTACAACCCTTTTGAGACCCGAGAGGTGAGATTCTGAGAGCACAGGACTGCAAGGGAGGGGAGGGCTTGCCAGTGAGCCCACTCTGTCGGGGTACAGGGGCCTTTTCTGCATGCCAAGGAAGGAGGGAGCAAGCACCATGACCTTAGCTCCTGACAGAGCGGCCAGGCCGCCACGGGATGCTTCATTCTTCTGGAGACACCAGGGCTCACGATCCATCCAATGGAGCCTGGCGGGGCCATAACCAAGGCCCTGTCTGGGGAGGCTTCTTTGAAAAAAAAAAATAAAGTACGCAGCTGGTTGGAATTGAGAAAACAGACTCTGCTTAGGTGTGCAATTAGAAGGCAAGGAATGAGGAGAACTAGACATATGTGTCTCACTGGAACAGGAAATGTAGAGTTTTTAAAAGTTACGGAAGTAGATGTAGATGAGTGCTTTAGTTCTGGCTAAGGAATTTGATGTGAGGGGTGATGAGGGCTGCTGCTGATGGTAAAGGAGTTCTCTGACAAACATAAGAACTAGCTTTCTACCAACTGTGGGAGGGGCTGCTACCTAGGTAATGAGTTTTGGGTGAAAAGGTATTCAGGCTGACTCTAGATTCCTCTGTTATGAGGGACCAGATGATCTGTAAGGTCTTTTTAAACCCAACAGCCACCATCAGCCTACGAGCCTCCTGCCCCTGCCCCAGCCCCACTGCCTCCACCCTCAGCTCCCTCGCAGTCCTCGAGAAAGCTCAGCCCCACAGAACCCAAGAACTATGGTTCCTACAGCTCCCAGGTAAAGGAGGTGTGTGGATGGTGGTTGGGAAGTCGGGCCAGCCCTGGGGCCCAGGACTCACATCTCTCTGCTCGTACTGGGCAGGCTTCCGCTGCAGCAGCCACCGCAGAGCTGCTAAAGAAGCAAGAGGAGCTCAACAGGAAGGCGGAGGAGTTGGACCGCAGAGAGCGGGAGTTGCAGCATGCTGCCCTGGGGGGCAAAGCTAGTAAGTGAGTCCTTGCTAGGGTGGGGAGGGAATCTGACAGTTTCTAAGAAGCAAAAAAACCTGAGAGCTTGGGCACCAGAGCCAAATTGTGAGTTTGAATTTGGGCGCTATCGCTTATCAATCGTAGTGAGCTCCTAGGCAAGTTATTAATGTTGAGTGCCTCAGTTTCCACACTTGTAAAATGAAAATACTGTCTGTACCTGTTTGACCGGATTGTTGTGGGAGTTAAACAAGATCGTCTATACAAAGCGCTTGGCACAGTGCTTAAAAGTTGTAAATAGTGATCCTCATTATTTTTATTTCTCTCCATCTCCTTGGACCCCAAATTAGAGATAGAATAGAGGACCTGGAGTGGGAGGGGGAGTGATTCCTTCATTGGTCTCTGCCTCACTTCTGCTCTCTTTGTGCCTTTCAGCTCGACAGAACAATTGGCCCCCTCTGCCTTCTTTTTGCCCAGTTCAGCCCTGCTTTTTCCAGGACATCTCCATGGAGATCCCACAAGAATTTCAGAAGACAGTATCCACCATGTACTATCTCTGGATGTGTGAGTAGTAAGAAGCCCTTTTGGAGAAAGAGTACAGGTAGTAACTTGTACATCTTTCCTGCCCTGGAGCCCACTCACCTAGAACTAGACACTTTGCCTCTCTTTAATATTTGAGTTTAAGACTAATTTCTCTAGGATCTTCCTGGGTTACTCCTTTTATACCATTTAGAACTTATTCTCCAGCCTTCTAGCAAATGCGTGTTTTTGCCTACTCACCTTCCCTTATCCTCGTGCATAAATGTGTTCTGAATCCTTTAACTGTCTTTCCAAAGGGGGTTGATTACTCATGATTGAGATTTGCTTGTTCTGTCTCCCCTGTTGAGGACTCTGTAAAGGCAGATGTTGTCTTCGTTTCCTTCTCTGCCAATTTGGTGAGGGTCACCGGGCGGGCTTATAGGGGAAGGAGCCTTCATTGCGGTCGGAAAGAGCCATCATCCTGTCCCTCCATCTGTTAGGCAGCACTCTGGCTCTTCTCCTGAATTTCCTCGCCTGCCTTGCCAGCTTCTGTGTGGAGACCAACAACGGCACGGGCTTTGGGCTGTCTATCCTCTGGATCATCCTTTTTACTCCCTGCTCCTTCGTCTGCTGGTACCGCCCCATGTATAAGGCTTTCCGGTAAGTTGGGGGCTGGGGTGATGGGGAAGTTTGAATGGACCCCCACTATCTGCTCCTCCAGCACTGATTCTCCCACTCTCCCCATTTTTTCTCCTTGCAGGAGCGATAGTTCATTCAATTTCTTCGTTTTCTTCTTCATTTTCTTCGCCCAGGATGTGCTTTTTGTCCTCCAGGCCATTGGCATCCCAGGTTGGGGGTTCAGGTCTGTGAGGCTGCTATCTACCCTCAGCCCTTCCTCCCACTCCTCTAGACCAAGTCAGGGTACTAGGGGGTTGGGGGGGAGTTGTTCAGCAAAAAAAAATGTGGTTTTTCTCCTTGGGAGGTGCTGGTTTATGGAGAGAGACAGGACATACTTCCAGGATAGAGAAAGCCCAGACAGAACTCTACACAGACATAGGTTGAGGGGAAGGTCAATCTGAGAAGGCTTCCTGGAGGAGGTATATGTAATCACAGTTGAAGAGCAGAGGGAGAATCTTCAACAGAAGGGTCTATTTTTTTTAATTTATTGACTTTTAGAGAGAGAGACTTGTTGTTCTACGTATTTATGCATTCATTGGTTGGTTCTTGTATGTGCCCTGACTGGGGATCGAACTCACAACCTTGATGCTCTAACCAACAGCTATCCAGCCAGGGCCAGAAGAGTCTATTTAGAGTGAGGATGTCTGGAAGAGCTTGGAGAGCTAGGAGGCAGTTCCGAAAGTGGGTCTGAACTATGAAGAGAGTGGATGTAGCTTGGGAATGTGGTGCGTAGAAAGCTGCCGGACTAATAGGAGTGACGGTCGATGGAAGGGTGGGAATAGGGCTTGTTTGCGACATAACCAGTGGAGAAGGGGAAGACAGAGACCCAGCTGTGAGCAGGCCTCTTCACTGCCACACCCTTGTGCCTCCTTACAGTGGCTGGATCTCCGCTCTGGTGGTGCTAAGGACCAACACGGCGGTAGCTGTGATCATGCTCCTGGTTGCCCTGCTCTTCACTGGCATCGCCGTGCTGGGAATTGTGATGCTAAAGCGGGTGAGGGGCTGTTGAAGGTGGGGCCAGGAGAGTGAGATCATGTGTCCCTAGGGGCCTGGGTGGAACATTCAGGAGGAACTGGGGAGGGCCAGGCTGATGGGCGGGTTCTGAGCTAATGGACCTCTGAGGTAGGGGGAGTGTGTGTGTGTGTGTGTGTGTGTGTGTGTGTGTGTGTGTGTGTTGGAGGGGATCCAAGGAGGGAAATCTAGAGCAGCAGGCTGGGGAGGGGTGGTGGCGGCGTTGGGTTGGAGTAGAGTAGCAGTGGCTGGAATGTGCTATGATATCTCTGTCCTCTACTTGCAGATCCACTCCTTGTACCGCCGCACAGGTGCCAGCTTTCAGAAGGCCCAGCAAGAATTTGCTGCTGGTGTTTTCTCCAACCCTGCGGTGCGAACCGCAGCTGCCAATGCAGCCGCCGGGGCTGCTGAAAATGCCTTCCGGGCCCCGTGACGCCTGACGGATGCCCTGGCCCTGCCACTTGAGGGGGCTGACTGAGCCCCTCGCCCTGAGGTCTCTGGGACTTGTGAGACATGGCTATCTGATGTCTCCTGTATAGTGCCCAACCCCGCAGCTGTGACTGCTGAACCTGATTTAGGGGTGCGGGGAGCCCACTGTGACCCCGTCACTGCTCTGCCTACACCCCACTCCCCAATCAGGCCACACCGCTGCCGCCCCTTACACACCCCAACCCGGCTTCCCTCTGCTGTGCCAAGGCTGTTGCTTCGATTATTTAAATAAAAAGACAGTGGAACTGGAACTCAAATTCCTGTTTCTGGAATTTTTACTGGGAACTAGGACAGAAAGAGTGCCCTAGTGGGTTTGGCTCAGTGGATAGAGCTTCGGGTCACGGCAAGTGCGGGAGGCAACCCATCAATGTGTTTCTCGCACATCGTCCACTCTCTCTAAGAAATCAATGGGAAAATATCCTGGGTGAGGGACCTGGAGTGAAGGCAGAGGGAAGGTCAGGCTGGCTTTAGTGTGAACTGCCAGCTGTCCAGGGTGGGGCAGCAGAGCTGGGCGACAGGGTGGCTGGTGCAGGAAGAAGGAGGGAAGTCCACGGTTGGGCGTGGAATCAGACTCACCAGGGAGCCCTGCTCCCCACCCTTCCATTAATGACCCGGAAAGAGCTGCTGCCTCTACTGAGAACGCAGTGGGGGGGGGGGGTGAAGAGGGGGGTCTGAGAGGCTGGGTGGGGCTCAAGCGAGCGCCCAAAGCGTTGTTAGCTCGGGCCCGGGGCCCGGTAGAGGCAGGGACTGGAGAGCACTTACCTTATCCGCAGACCTGCCTGCCTGCTCTGCTGCCAGCTCCGGCCCCCACCCCCGCACCGCCGCAGGGTCTCCTGTCCTGACTACAACTCCCGGGGTGCACCGCGCAGCCACGCTCCTCCTCTCGCACCATCCCATCCCCACCCCCTGCCTCCAAACCCGCTGCAGCCGGAGGTGGGGGAGCGGAGCGTGGAGGGGAGGGGAGCAGGGCTGGCGACTCTGGAGACAGCGGTGCCTTGGCCTCTCCCACCCACCAGCCTTGGATCCCACTGGACACCGGAGGCACGTCCACCGCCCCCTAGAGTCACCCACGCCGACCCCTCCCCTCTTCCCTAGACGTCTTCCCATCCTCTGGACTTCACCTTCCCCATCCTTTCCTGGGCTCCCGACCTCCGTCCTCTCCCCGCTCCCTCTCCTCACTCCCGGACCTGCCCTTCTCGGCGCCCCTCTTCCCTAGGGAGATGCGATGAGCCTGTGTCCCAGCGCCCTCATCGCCATCCTGGGCACGGTGCCCATCCAGTGCCCGCGGTGGGGAGGGAGCACTCCGCGGCCCCTCTGTGACTTCCCTGCCTCGACCGCCCCTCCAGCTGGAGTCCCTGAGCCATGCCCCAGGGGACCCAGCCAGGGGGTGGGCTCTAGAGCGAGTGGGGTGGAGAGGAGGAAGGACGGGGCCCCGGGCTCCTCGGAGATGCTCCCAAGCGCCAGGGGGGGCCGAGCGAGGCGCAGGCAACCGGGCGGCAGGCAGGATGCCCTCGCCTAGTGACTCCAGCCGCTCGCTTACCAGTCGGCCTAGTACCCGGGGCCTTACCCACCTCCGCCTCCACCGACCCTGGCTGCAGGCCCTGCTCACGCTGGGGCTGGCCCAGGTGCTGCTGGGCATCCTGGTGGTCACCTTCAGCATGGTGGCCTCCTCTGTCACCACCACCGAGAGCATCAAGAGGTCCTGCCCGTCTTGGGCTGGATTCTCGGTGAGTTGGGTGCACAGTTGTTGGGTGGGGGCGGCTCCTTGGGCCCCACCCCTCCACACCAGCTGCCAGTTCAGATCCTGGCCTCTCCTCCCTCTCCCTTCTCCTAAAAGGGCTGGGTGCACCCTGTGGTGAGGGGCTCACTCAGGTGCCTCCCCTGCCAGGCTGAGCCTGTGCCCACTCTGTCCCCAGCTGGCGTTCTCCGGGGTAGTTGGCATTGTGTCCTGGAAGCGGCCATTCACTTTAGTGGTAGGTGCCAGGGTCTGGTGTCCGCTGGGAGGCAGGTGCCCAGCACCTGAGGGGATGCCCGTTTATGCCCTCAAGAAGGGAACTGGCTCTCCGGTTCCTGCCACCCAGGCACGAATGAGTGTGAAGGAGGGTGGCTCCCTCCCTGGTAGCCCCCGCTCCTGAGCATCCCAGCCCTGAATCCGCACCCTGTCTCCCCAGATCTCCTTCTTCTCCTTGCTGTCGGTGCTGTGTGTCATGCTCAGCATGGCGGGCTCTGTTCTCTCCTGCAAGAACGCTCAGCTGGCCAGAGACTTCCACCACTGCTCCACGGTGAGGTCTGAGGAGGGCGGGCGGAGAGAACTGGCGGGGGGAGATGTGAGGGACACCTGACTCAGTCTGTCTCCCCTCCCCTCTCCCCCTCAGGAAGGGAAGGTCTGTGTGTGCTGCCCCTCCGGTCCCCTCCTCCGGCCCTGTCCAGAGTCAGGGCAGGAACTAAAAGTTGCCCCTAACTCCACCTGTGATGAAGCCCGAGGGGCCCTCAAGGTGAGCATGCACCCCCCGCCCCCCCCGCCCTACCATTCCTTCCTCCCCCACCATGCCTCCCTCACAGGCCCAGGCTATGTGGGATTACCCATGCCCCTCATACATCCTTCTTTCTCTCTTTCTTTTCCCAGAACCTGCTCTTCAGCGTCTGCGGACTTACCGTTTGTGCCACCATAATCTGTACCGGCTCAGCTATTGTCTGCTGGATCCAAATATTCTCCCTTGACCTCATGGACACGGGGGAGGGGGGGAGCCGGGGTGAAGGCCAAGCAGAAGGAATGGAGGGGTGGCAGGGGTGTATTGTGCTGGGACTGGGGTTGAGGGGGTGTGACTACAGTGATTCCTCTGAGCACCAGCGGCCGTAGATCACCCATTAGGAACGTCTATTATTGTAGGGATGTTAAGGGGGTCCGAGGGGGGTGGTGGTGAGGAGAGGAATGACAGGGAGTAAGAAAGTATGTGATGCCAGTCGGGGGCCAGGAGAGGGGGCATTAAAGAGTGGGGCTAGAAGTTGGGTGGGGTCAAGAAGGGCCTCCATGGAGGTGGGGATGGAGGGTTGATGTTCTGGTGAGGACAGAGCAGGTGGTGATTCTGGATGGAGATGGGGTCATAAACAGGAGGAATTATTTTAGATGGGCAGGGCCAGAGCTGGAGGTCCTGGGTGGAGGCAGGGTTAGAGGAGGGGCTGGTTCTGGCTGAGGGAGGGGCCAAGCTGAGCAGCTTTGGGGGCGGGGCCAGAAAATGTAGATGAGATGAGGAGTTTGGGAGTCGAATAACCAGAAACCTGGGTGATTGCTTGCTCCCCAGCAGCTGGCCCCTGAGCGCTCCGTCTCAGGTCCCCTGGGGCCTCTGGGCTGTACCTCCTCGCCCCCCGCCCCTCTCCTGCACACCATGTTGGACTTGGAGGAATTTGTACCACCTGTGCCCCCACCTCCCTACTACCCCCCAGAGTACACCTGCAGCTCAGAAACAGATGCACAGAGGTGAGGCCTGGCGGACTCCTGCTGGGGAGACGAAGGCAGGGGAAGGGGGCTTGGGCTGCAGCCTTGATTGGTGGGGAGGGTCTTTGCGGAATAGTTCTTCTCCAGGCTCTGACCCTCTCTCTCCCTCTTCCCACCAGCATCACCTATAACGGCTCCATGGACAGCCCAGTGCCCTTGTACCCTACTGATTGCCCCCCTTCTTATGAGGCTGTTATGGGGCTACGAGGAGACAGCCAGGTGAGAGCAAGGCTTGGTGTGGGCCAGGGAGCCAGGGCTAGAGCATGAAAGCTGAGTGAGCTGCAGTCGCTGGGTAAAGATGAGAACAGTTCCCATGATCTTATGGCACTAACACATCCACTGCCATCTTTGATCTCCCCAGAGCCCGGTGAGGGGGGTGGCGTAGGAACCGTGATTTCTGTTTTACGATAGGGAAACAGAGGCCCACATATGTGACTTTACCAAGTGACACAGCAGGACTGGAATCTGGAACTCCCCAGTTCTGTCCAGCACAGGGGGGTGGCCAATCAGTGTGCAGAGCTAGACCTTGGACCCTTGTGTCTTCTGCAGGCCACTCTGTTTGATCCTCAGCTTCACGATGGCTCCTGCATCTGCGAGCGGGTGGCCTCCATTGTGGATGGTGAGCAGAAAGTGGGAAGGCCTGGGAGAGCAGAGCTGGGTGGGAGCGAAACAGGGGGAGACAAGGCCGAGTTGGTGGTGTGTGGACAAGCGAGGGCGGGGGCTTTTTGGAATCCTGGACTTAACGGTCTCCTTTGAGATAAAACCAGGCAGAGCGGCCCCCCAGAGGCTGGGCCTGAGCAAAGGGAAACTGCCTGGACCTGGCCGGGCCGGGCCGGTGCTACCCAGCGCCCCCTGCTGCCCACAGTGTCCATGGACAGCGGGTCGCTGGTGCTGTCGGCCATCGGCGACCTCCCGGGCGGCTCCAGCCCGTCCGAGGACTCGTGCCTGCTGGAGCTGCAGGGCTCCGTCCGCTCCGTGGACTACGTGCTCTTCCGCTCCATACAGCGCAGCCGCGCCGGCTACTGCCTCAGCCTGGACTGCGGCCTGCGCGGCCCCTTCGAGGACAGCCCGCTGCCCCGGCGGCCCCCTCGGGCCGCGCGCTCCTACTCCTGCTCCGCCCCGGAGGCCCCACCACTGCCAAAGAATTGCTCCACAAACTATATAAATAACTCTTAAAACTCGACATCAAGAAAACAAATAACCCAACTAAAAAATGGGCCAAAGTCCTTAAAAGACACCTCACCAGAGAAAAGATACAGATGGCAAATAAGCATATGAAATGAGGTTTCACATAATACGTCATCAAGGAAATGCAAATTTAAGCAAAGAGATACCACCACACACATATTAGAATGGCTCTATATTGACCACTGACAAAATGATGGTGAGAATGTGGAGCAGCCGGTCTCTGCATTTCTGCTGGTGGGAATAGCAACACGGTAGAGCCACTTTGTCAGTTTCATACAACACTATACACAGTCTAACTATACGACCTAGCATTCACGTTCATGGTCATTTCCGAAAGGAATGAAAAATTTATGGTCAC